GTATCAGAGCGGCAATGAAATCCCTAACCGTCATGTCCCTGTCATTCCACCCGGCCTGTCTGCTGTACCACAACATCTGTGTGCCAGCGTGGAGTGGGTTAAACCATGCGATTTCAGCGACAGCAGCGGGATCAGCAAACTGGCACTTTTATAAATCCTTCCCGATATTACTTAATGCATTCCGCGAACGAGAGACATATTGCAAATTTCTCTCTCTCTCGCTCCCCCCCTCCTCTCTCCCCCCTTTTCCGTCTCTCGCCCTCCCTTTCTCTCTCGCCCTCCCTTTCTCTCTCTCCCTCCCTTTCTCCCCTACCTTTCTCCGCTCCCTCCCTTTCTCCCCCTCCCTTTCGATCCCCCTTCCCTCTCTCTCTCCCTCCCTTTTTCTCTCTCCCTCCCTTTCTCTCTCTCCCCTCCCTTTCTCCCTCTCCCCCCTTCTCTCCCCCCTCCCTCCCCCTCCCTTTCTCACTCCCTCCCTCCCTCTCTCTCCTCCCTCCCTTTCTCTCCCCCCCCTTTCGCTCCCTCCCTCCCTTTCTCTCTCCCCCCCCTCCCTCCCTTTCTCTCCCTCCCTCCCCTCTCTATCTCTCCCACCCTTTCTCTCCCTCCCTCCCTTTCTCTCTCCCCCCCCTCCCTCCCTTTCTTTCTCTCCTCCCTCCCCTCTCTATCTCTCCCACCCTTTCTCTCCCTCCCTCCCTTTCTCTCCCTCCCTCCTTTCTCTCCGTCCCTCCCTTCCTCTCCGTCCCTCCCTCCTTTCTCTCCCTCCCTCCCTTTCTCTCTCTCCCTCCCTCCCGTTTCTTTCTCCATCCCTCCCGTTCTTCCCCCCCCCCCCCTCTCTCTCTCTCTCTCTCCTCTCTCCTTCTCTCCCTCCCTTTCTCTCTCTCCCTGCCCCCCCCCCCCTTTCTTCCTTCCTTTCTCTCCCCTCTCTCTCCCCCCGGTCTCTCTCTCCCTCTCCCTGTCTCTCTCTCCCTCCCTTTCTCGCTCTCACTACCTTTCTCTCTCTCCCCCCTCTCCCTGCCCCCCCCCCATCTCACCCCCCTCTCTTTCTACCTCTCTCTCTCCCTCCCTTTCTCTCTCTCTCCCTCCCTTTCTCTCTCTCTCCCTCCCTTTCTCTCTCTCTCCCCTCCCTTTCTCTCCCTCCCTTTCTCTCTCTCCCTTTCTCCCCCCCCCCCCCCTTTCTCTCTCTCTCCCTTCCCCCTCTCTCTCCCTCCCCCCTCTCTCTCCCTTCCCCCTCTCTCTCTCTCTCCCTCCCCCCCTCTCTCTCCCTTCCCCCTCTCTCTCCCTCCCTGTCTTTCTTTCTCTCTCCCTTTCTTTCTCTCTTTCCGCCTTCTCCTGTAGGTTTTAGTGGGTGGGGCCTACTAACCCCTCCCACAGCTCTGCTCTCTGCACAGACTATGTACAGTCCGGGAGGACCAGCGGACAGGTATCGGAGCGGCAATGAAATCCCTAACCGCCATGTCCCTGTCATTCCACCCGGCCTGTCTGCTGTACCACAACATCTGTGTGCCAGCGTGGAGTGGGTTAAACCATGCGATTTCAGCGACAGCAGCGGGATCAGCAGACTGGCACTTTTATAAATCCCTCCCGATGTTACTTAATGCGATCCGCGAACGAGAGACATATTGCAAATGGCATTTAATGTCACTTTAATTCCAGAGCAGACAATTTTGGAAAATGGGATACATATGACAGATCAGGGCGCTAAGTCGTTTCTGCTACTAAATAACTGTTCTTTCTTGCATGAAAAAATGATATTGTAACGGCATAATCTGCGTTACACGCTCAGCTGTGTAAAGGATGTGCCGTGTGAAAGCTTTACCTGTGTTATGGAGAGCCCAGCCCTTCCCACTGCATGCTGAGTCCTCCTGGCATCGCCAAAGCAATAGTTACGCTCTCTTCCTAGTTTGCTGGTCACAATTGCCTGTCACAGGCAGTTCTGGAATCTGTCCTGCTGCTTGCTGCCACCATCTGCTGTACGCATAGGGGTATCCAGTGCTGGGATATGGGGTGGGCAGGAGGGGCGGCGGGACTGACCATTCGAGCACTCGGGCAGTAGGGGGCCCCATGAAATGCCCCTGGTACCTTTTTTATGGGCTTTTTTTGGGTGTGCTTTGAATGTGGGCAAGGTCCCAGGGGCCCCTGATCCCCTATTGCCCCGGGGCCACATGAGTTGTCAGTCTGCCCCTGGGTGGGCAGGAAGGGCGGCTGCCCTAGGGCAATGGTAGGGGGGGGGGGTTCCCCTCACAGCACTCTCCAGGTCAGTGACTGGCAACCAGCAGGCTGTGGTTTAATTTCTGCTCTGACTTCTGTCATATTGTGCTCCCACGTGCCCGCTCTCCACTCCATCCACCCACAGCTGACACAAAAGTGAATGCACATCTACCTTCTAGCTGCTAAAAAGTAAACAATTGGCCACGTGTGTGTAGTGCACACTTCATGCCAGCCATTGGCGGCCGGAGCAAGGGGCAGGGCATGACAATGGAGGGGGGTACAGTTCTGCATCCTTAGGGCTAGTTCACACTACGTGCAGTCCAGTGCAGGGGCGGACTGACAACTCATGGGGCCCCCCGGGCAATAGGGGATCATGGGGGCCCCTGTGTCCTTGCCCAAACTCAAAAAAGCCTATGAAAAAGGTGCCAGGCAGGGCGGACTGACAACTCATGGGGCCCCTGTGCAATAGGGGATCATGGGGCCCCTGTGTCCTTGCCCAAACGCAAAAAAGCCTATGAAAAAGGTACCAGGGGCATCTCATGGGGCCCCCTACTGACCCCGGGCCCTCGGGCAGTGCCCGAGTTTCCAAATGGTCAGTCCACCCCTAGTCCAGTGCATTTTTTTTCGGCATCAAAAATGCATGCACAGAGATTTCCATGTATTCCAATGACTCTAGTTCACACCACTGCAGTCAGTTTTTGATGCAGAAAAAAAATGTAGAATACGCTGCATTTTTGTCTGCAGAGAACCATACTGGAACATGGCAAACTGCATCAAAACTGCACCGGAACAGAGTGTGGTGTGAACTGTAAGCAAAAGCGTATACGGAGTGCGTTATGTTTTTTTTTTTTTTTTTTTAGTAGTGTGAACTGGCCCTAAACCTCGGTCCTGGCCCTGAGGGTGTCTGTTTTTTTATACTGTGTTCTAGAGGAGTTTGGACAATATAGATGAGTGAGCAATTTCCTCTTTTTTTTTTTATAGTTTTTTGCCTGAAATCTCATCAAATAAGCCTCTAATTTCCCTATATGGCATTGTTAGGTGAAATTTGCTTGAAAGAAAAATTCCTGGTGGCATGGCATTTGACATGGTTTTGTTTATAAACACAAAACCATGTCATACAGCAACAGAGTGGGACATGGTTTTTCAAAGCCCACCGTGGCCAATCATGGTAAAATTTCATCCAAGTGTAAACTCTCAATTGGTGAGGAATCCACAATCTGCTTTTACCAGTAACACCATATTTCCTGCATTATGTTCAAAGCAAACTCTGCAGCTGCTGGTTCCCCAGGGATTTACTATGAGACCAGATGAGGTGTTTTTATTTCTTTATTTATTTCAGGTACTTATATATCACCATCAATTTATGCAGCACTTTACATACCTATTGTACATTCACATCAGTCCCTAACCCTCAAGGGGCGTACAATCTAAGGTCCCTAACCCTCAAGGGGTGTACAATCTAAGGTCCCTAACCCTCAAGGGGCGTACAATCTAAGGTCCCTAACCCTCAAGGGGTGTACAATCTAAGGTCCCTAACCCTCAAGGGGCGTACAATCTAAGGTCCCTAACCCTCAAGGGGCGTACAATCTAAGGTCCCTAACCCTCAAGGGGCGTACAATCTAAGGTCCCTAACCCTTAAGGGGCGTACAATCTAAGGTCCCTAACCCTCAAGGGGCGTACAATCTAAGTTCCCTAACCCTCAAGGGGCGTACAATCTAAGGTCCCTAACCCTCAAGGGGCGTACAATCTAAGGTCCCTAACCCTCAAGGGGCGTACAATCTAAGGTCCCTAACCCTCAAGGGGCGTACAATCTAAGGTCCCTAACCCTCAAGGGGCGTACAATCTAAGGTCCCTAACCCTCAAGGGGTGTACAATCTAAGGTCCCTAACCCTCAACGGGCGTACAATCTAAGGTCCCTAACCCTCAAGGGGTGTACAATCTAAGGTCCCTAACCCTCAAGGGGCGTACCATCTAAGGTCCCTAACCCTCAAGGGGCGTACAATCTAAGGTCCCTAACTCACATTCATACATACACATACTAGGGACAATTTAGACAGGAGCCAATTAACCTACCAGCTAGTCACTGTGCCGGCATCCTGCTCCTGCACCCCGTGATGAACAGAGTATACAATGACAGAGTATGACATGGCTCTTTAAAGCCTAGTGTTGTCAGTCATGCTAAAATTTCAGCCACGTGTAAACTCTCAATTTCCTGAACCCCTACTGGGCAATATATAGAGCAGCGGTTCTCAACCTGTGGGTCGCGACCCCTTTGGGGGTCGAACGACCCTTTCACAGGGGTCGCCTAAGACCATTGGAAAACACATATTTCCGATGGTCTTAGGAACCGACACACTGCTCCTCTATTCTTCTCCAGGCAGGTCCACCCACATGCAGATACGCCCACATACGAGTACCTGACGTGATGACATCATCGTGCCAACCCCATCACATATACCCCGTACAAATACAGGTGCATGTGACAGGGTTGGCGCCATAATGTACTTATGTGGACCAGTCGTACATGTGTAAAGAGCAGTTGCTGTACAGAAAGCAGCTGCTGTGTAGAAAGCAGCTACTGTGTAGAAAGCAGCTACTGTGTAGAAAGCAGCTACTGTGTTGAAAGCAGCTACTGTGTTGAAAGCAGCTACTGTGTTGAAAGCAGCTACTGTGTTGAAAGCAGCAGTATATTGGAGGTAAAACGGCACTTCATGAATTATAATAATAATTGTTTTTGTGATTAATCACTATGCTTTACTTATGTTCAATTTGTAACAATGAAAATACATTCTGCG